GGTTTGTTCTTTTCTGACCATTGAAATCTCTTCAAAGTATCCGGCGAGGGATTTCTTTTTTAATGTGTGCAGAAAGACCTCTATGAATAGAGTACAAGAACTATTAATGGAAAGCTGTTTTCTGACCTTGAGCTTGAATTACTAAGAGTGTGGAAAAAAACCATTCAGGAATTAGTTTGTCAGTGCTGTCAATATGTACACTCACTCACTTGCGCAGTTCTGTAGACATGACCTTTCGTCCTGGTCTGATGTCAGATAGAGCAACTCGCGTTAACATGTAACAAGTTTCAAAACTTTAGTTCATTTGTCTGAAAGAATTAAGGTAGTGTTTCAAGCTATTTTCTCAAGAAATAGCTTCTTTATTCATACATATTCATAGTTTTTAAAACATATCAAATGTCTTATATACAGTACCTTTAAAGACAGTTGGAACATTAATAATGACCAATTAACATACTAGTTATTTCAGTTCTCCAGCACAGATTTGAATAGCCTTAGTGATTTTTGTGAGCTCGCAGAAAAGACATTTCATTTCCAGCAACTACTGCTGCACGCTGTATTCTTGTGCATTTGATAAATAGACTTAGATTTGATTTGATTTGATTTTGATTTGAGATGCATCAGTTATGTTTAAATGCATGCACAATTGTGACAACAGATAGGCCAGAAGATTTCTGGTATCCCTAGACATCTGGTAATATGGTGACCCACAGAACTCATAAGGTATTGATTTTAAAAAAAGGGAAACCACTTTTTAGATGCCATATTCAGATGCTACAGAATTTGTAATATGTACTGGGAAGCACATAGGTTGGTCGATTTTCTTTTATTTGCCTTTACCCCGAACAGAGAAAAAGATCAGGCAGAAGAAGCTTAAACATCCACCATTTGACACACTAAACAAGAACACGATCTCAGGAGGTGGCATAGATCATGAATGGTAGAATCATTATGACCTGTAACATTGATGGATTTTTCCTTTGAAGGAAAACAGTTAATCTTTCATAAAAAATCTAGCTCCTCATTTTATAGTGTTTTATTTTACATTTTACAAGTAAAATATTTCAAAACAGTATCCATCTTTGTTTCAGTGGAAATTTTGGTGTGCAGAAGTTTCTTCAGCCAAGACACGGTTCACTTGCTTGACATCCAGGGATTATTAAAAAAACAGTGTTATGTGCTTGAAGCTGCAGTGTGCAGTGAATTGGCATGATGCTTAGTCATTTACTGAAGGGCAACACAATTAGCTTTATCAAAACGATGCTGGTCCTGTCTTTTGTTTGAACATTTTTAGATTTATGGATCAGGCACAATTTTCCTTTCAGATAAGGAAAAGAATAAGAATCTTTGATTTTCAGTCCCAAGAAACAAGGGTGATGTTGATCAGTGGTGATATTTGAAACTCTGTACAATAAATTAATATGTACTGTACTGTAAGTAGGGTAGTCACTTATTTTGTACTCCATCCTTAAATGTGTATTTTCTTTAGATGTCTGAATTTTTCGTGATCCATTTCTGCAAATTGTTGTGACCTTACTTTGTAGAAAGAAATAGCTGTCCTGTTTACCAAATTTAGATTGTTAATTTACCTTGAGCCGTACCCCCACTGCCTATTCAAAGATCCATATTCTATTATTCGGGTTCTGTTGCTATCTTTAAATCATCTGCAAATTAGCCCCTTTGAAAGTTTGTCTTGATGGATTGCATTTTGCCATAATTTCGCTACTGTTTGATCAGCTCTTCTTCAATTTTTACCTCACCTTTGTTGTGCATTATTACTGAACATTACCATGATACACTGTGACAAATGTTTCTTAGGGCAGTTTTACAGTATTCTTAGGGTCCAGTCCAATAAGGAGCAGTTAAAGGCATGTTGAAATCACAGGGGAAAACAGCCAAACAGAAATTTTGATAAACTTCTGAAACAATCAGCCAACTAAGGATAAATTAGATGGGTTTTCCACTCTTCAGTCTTTCACTGTTCATAACTTAAAAAAGACTATTCAAACCTATCAGAAACAAGCAGCAAACTTGGGAGCTGACGGGTTTTGATAATATCTTTCTTTATCATCAAGCGGACAGGTCATTGAATTTTAGCCAATCTCTTTTTGACACAGTTGTACTTTTACTCGTTTTATTAATCAACAGCTTTTCTGTTCCTCTGAGTGAAAACAAAGTTTTCACTAAAACAACAACACAGTAATCCCAGCAACTGATTTACAGCTGTTCTTTATACATGAGAGGAAGACATTTTTTCCAAACGAAATATTGCAAGTCAACACACAATATACAAAGTCTGTTTACTGAACACAGCTGTGACAAGGATGAGTGGTGTGGTTTGAACTCATGGTAAATGTGTTTTGAAATTAATTGTTTACGAAAGATGCAAGTAATAAAGGTGTCAGACAAAGTATTTTTCAAATTCAATATCTTAAATTTTCTGCTGGGTTTATCATTCCTGGGGTGAATTATTATGTGAAAAGATCCTTCTACTGATTTGTCTGTCTTTTAGAATATACTTTATGACTCACCAAAAATATAGGTTGAGCAAAAACCAATGAATATTTTAATAAGCAAAGTGTGAGTCAGCATTTTGTTAAGGTTTAATTTGTACCTTTAGCTTGGCTACAAATGTCATGTGTAAAAAAAACAGGGATGTATTTTATATTAAAGCCACATTGCATTGTGCATATGTAAGATCATAATTTTATTTTGTTTTTCTTTCAGAACCCAAGTACATATTCAAAAAATATGAAAATGTAAACATTTTTGAAATTGTTTCTGTTCTCCGTAGTGTCAACAAAAATATTGAATTTATTTAGTTTGAATTAATTGTTGAAAGATATACAGTAGTCCATGCAGGTGAGGCTGCACATTGGTGGTGGTGGAGGGGAGACCCCATTACCATTAAAGCGCTTTGAGTGGAGTATCCAGAAAAGTGCTATATAAGTGTAAGCAATTATTATTAATTATTATTATCCATCCTGTCATCAGAGACAAGCTACATGTCAGTTGTGTTAAATTGGTTTTTGGACCATATTCTAAATATGGCAGTATATTTATTAACCATGACTTACTATTACAATCCTTTTAAATTCCAGTTTCACTTTGTATTGGATCTGTAAAAATTGTAATTCAACACCCAAAAAGTGACACATCTTAGCTCCATCTTATCTGTTTGCTAAACCCTTGCCTGTTGTCGTATTCTTAGGAATTAAGAATTGTAGTAATTGCCAAAGTGTAACTCGAAACTGAAGATGACAAGTTTCTTTAGTTTTAGAGCTACAAGTTGTGTTTTAGGAGTTGCCTGAAGGAGATCAGAGATGATTTAGTTCAGCTTCTTGTAATAATATTTTATTTACTTTATATAGCATTTTTTTTGACACATCATCAGAAGGTGTAATGAAACAGTACAGACAGATACACGCACATAAATGTAATAAATAAAACAGAATTAAAAGCAAGCACATAAAAGTAACATTTAACACTTTTATAGCAGTTACTTCATTTAATATGTGCTAGGAGATTATTCCACAGCCTCAGAGCAAGAGAAAACAATGTACAATCTCTCAGCATTTGAAGCCTGGTTTTAGGACTGAAAGAAGGTCAGAGTCCAAAGAGCACAAAAGATATGGAATTGTGTAGGGAGCTAACAATTCACTGATATGCTCAGGATCTAAACCATTCAAGGCCTCAAAACTGAGCTGCAGAATTTTGGATTTCACAGGGAACCAGTGCAAAGAAGCTGAGGACATGAAATTCTCATGCAGTTTTTATTTGAGCAGCTGAGCTCTGAACATGCTGCAACATGTTAAGAACTGCATAGTCTAGAAAGCACTGCATTACAATATTCAAGCCTGGAAAAGGCAAAAATAATTTTTAATGTTATGTTTAAACATCTCTCGAGGTGGAAAAAACAGTGATAAGTCTGCTCTTTTGATCTTAATTTGTATAAACCTTCAGTTTTGATTCCTGGAATATTGGTACAATTTAAGAATTTCTTAGAAGAATTAGTAGATATTCATACTTCAAACTGTTAAAGGGATAAGAACAGTATACAAAGTTTCAAGGTTATGTCTTGATTGGTCCTTCTACAATTGTAAGCCATTTATTCGTGGTAAGGGTCTGTGTAACTCATAATGTATCCCAGAAGCACAGGCGGTAAGGTGGAACTACACCGACCAGGTTAGAGGTATTAGTTAAACTACCAGAAATGTCTCTGGGAGGTGGGAAGAAACCAGAGGACCTGGTGAATATTCTTGCAAATATTTGCATATAAGAACATGCAAGCTTCAGACTAAAGGTGCCCCAGTGCAGAATTGAACCCAGATCCCAAGAACTATGAGGTACAGTAGCAGCCCTGACTGTTATGCTGCCGTGTCACCTGATTTGAATATGAAATGTCACATGGTAATTTAATATCTACAGCTTTAGTCTAGGCTGTCTTCAGGCTGTTTTTGGAAAATCAGTTCCAGATCTAGTTTCTAAGAGACAAATCAGAGGTGGTGAGGTTCAGACCTGTTGTTCTGAAATAATCTTGTGTATTTTGTGTACCTCAAAACCTCACGACAGCCTCTATTAGCAGTGTTACATTCTGCTGTTGTATATTTGTTTATTATTGTATAGTTGTACAGTATATTATTGTACATTGTTGATGGGTGTTTAGTTTTAGCTCTGACTGAATTGAATGCTTGTTGAATGCATGTATAGACAGTTTATGTAGGTATCCTCTTGCCACAGTATCTTTTTCTATAAGCTATGCATTGTTTTGCATAAGTTAATATAAAATAGAAACAGGATTAGTTATTTGGTGATGATCACTTTAAATTAGCAATGCAAAACTTTATCTGGGTAAACTATTACAAGCCAGGTACAGCTTTTTAAAAAGTCTTATTCTGCATGTACAGGCACTCACAGAAATGTGATTTAGGGTACAGCGTATAAGTTACATTTACCTTGATGTTAATTTTTTCCTCTCTCTCCTCTTCTTCTTTCTGCAGTGATCTCTAAGCAGTGCTCAAGATGAATAACAGGACTTGCCCTTCCAGGTTTGCAGCCTGTAGGTAACAGACAAGACTCCAAGACTTCACCTTCACCAGCACTCTTAGCTGAGATGCTCGGAAAGGCCACATTTTTTGTGACTTACATCTGGATGCTAAGCCTATCAGTCTTAGCTCAGGACGGCTGCCCCCCACTTCCCTCCATAAATGTAAATTTTTCAGTTACGTACACCTTGCCTTTTTTCCAGACGGAGACTCGTATACAAAACATTTTGGCTGATCCAGACAACAATGACATTTATGTGGCTTCACGGAACATTATTGAAACTGTAAATGCCAGTCTTGACAAGTTATGGGAATTGCGTACTGGTCCAGTGGGCAGCTCTCAGTGTGAGATCTGCAACTTATGTGACATTGAAAAGGACCCCGGTATTTTGGAGGACACTGATAACCAAGCTCTTTTTCTGGATCCATTTTTAAATTACTTGTATACATGTGGGAGTTCGCAATATGGCATCTGCTACTTTCATGACATTGGAAATGGATTACCTTCCTCCTCCAAGTGCCTCTATAAAAATGGGTCAAATTCACCATCTAATTGTCCAGACTGTGTGGCTAGCCCATTGGGTACAAAGGTCACAATCGTGGAAGAAGGCAAGACTGCATTTATTTTTGTGGCGGCCACTGTGGACCAGAAAGTAACACAGAAATATGGCAGAAAATCCATATCGGTTAGACGTCCGTTAGCTACTGAAGATGGCTTTTACACCGATGTGCGGGGACTGACTGTTCGTCCTGAGTTCTTGGAGTCCTACCCCATTGAGTACATTTACAGCTTCTCCACAACCGATTTTGTCTACTTCTTATCCGTGCAGAGGGAGAGCGTCGATAACGCCAATTCCCCCTTTCAGACGCGGCTGGGCCGCCTCCCTCGCCACGAGTGGGAGGTGCGCCGTTACCGTGAGGTGGTTTTGGAATGCCGCTTTGAGCCTAAGCGGCGGAGGAGAGAAATTTTAAGAGACGTGGTCTACAACGCCCTGCAGGCCGCCCACTTCGGGAGGGTGGGCAAAGAGCTGGCAGAAGAGCTGGGGGTGGAGCAGGATGCTGACATCCTATATGGGGTGTTTGCGGTGACCCACCCAGAGACTGGGAAGCCCCTTCCTGATTCTGCTCTATGCGCCTTCCCCATGGAGAAGGTCAACAAAGCCATAGAGGAGGGAGTGGAAGACTGCTGCACCACTGGGCCAGAACGCCTCTCCCGTGGGCTCTGCTACTTTCAGCACTGTGAGAACTGCCCGCATGAGGTACAGTACAGTAGGTCACGTCACCCTGACCACTTCCTGCCGAACTGGGACCCTTGGGGTTAAACAAAGTAGGCATAAGAAAACATGGTTTTTAGTTTTTCAGGACCAAAATTATTTTACAAACTGCGTATTCAAGACCGGGCTACAGCTTCCTGGTCGCCCTGCTTTATGTATTCTGCTGTAGTCTGTTACTTTATTGAGCTTTCAATTCAATTTGTAGTTTGTTACCTGGATCAGCTCTTAAACTGAAAGAGGTTTTAAGTGAACTGGAATTTTGTTAAGTGTTTGGAATCTCCACATTTATAATCTAACCTATTATTATTATTCATATTTTTTCTTTATATAATTTGTTAGAATACAATAATAAATATTATTTGAGGCATAATTAAATAGATGAGTGCTCAGCTAGAATCTAAGCAGTGAAATCCAGGAGACAGGATTGGGAATGTCCAGAGAACTCCAGGTTTAAGGGGTTTGGACTATCATAACCAGAGCATGCTCACTGACGAAGATGGGAACATGACGAAGAGGAAGTTTGGGCAAGCCTAGACGAGTGAGAAGGTGCTGTGTAATGTATTGGAGTACAGAAGGGGTGGACTGAGAGATGAATTGAGTAATTTCCTCATCGGTGGCAGGCACAGGGCTGGGTGTGGACTGTTTACCTTTCCTTTCTCCAGTCATATATGCTTAACAAACAATTCTACAGGGGAACTTAAGAGATGCAATGCTGCTTTTCCATTTTGTTGTTGTAAGTTGGAATTGGAAGTTACACAGGTACACAGCCTCAAGCAGTCTTGTGTTGTCACAATGAGGTTTGCATGAGTCTTCTGTGGCATGTCTTGCAAATACCTATTTTTACATGCGTCATAAGCTCCTTTTTGAAGTAGACCAGGCTGATGTTTAGCCGCACCACTGAGATTTCTGCAGCCAGGTGCTTTATTCTTCAAAGCACTGTAAAATGTCATTCTTATCCATGATGTCACTTGTGTTTGTTTTGTAAAAGTTTAAGCCTAAATAAGCTCTCTTGGCAGATCTTTTGAACTGTGGGGAATAGAAGCCTAATGCTAAAAAAGCTGTTCTCCTCCTCCAGTGCTTGTGTTCATAATGCTCTTTTCCTTTCAACAGCAAAAACAATTGTGATATTTAAGTACATACAGTATGTGGGCAACATGGTAGTGCAGTGGTTAACATTGCTTCCTTGCAGCTCTGGAGCCCTGGGTTCAATTCAGGACATAGGCTGCTATTGGCATGGAGTTCATATGTTCTCCACTTCTTCGCTGGGTGCTCCAGTTTACTCCCACAGTCCAGAAGCGTAATGGTAGGTTAATTGGTTTCTAAGAAAATCCTGACATGAGTGTGTCCCTGTATGTGTCTGTAGGTGCCAGGACTGGCATGTCATCCAGGATGTACCCTGTCTTGTGCCCATTGCTTGCTGAGATTTGCTTTGGCTCCCCCATGAGTGTTTTGGATGGAAGTACAGATATCTAGTTCACAAATTATAAGCCTACTGTACATATTAGCTGAAAGTGGATTTACTTTTCCTGCTGATCTTATGCAGTGCAAAGACACACTTTCACTTTTACTGCCTGATTATAATGTTCCATCCTGCTTTGTTCCAGGTAGACACTGTTCCTTACTATTTTCCATTATTCTTTTAAAACAGTTTTCTTTCCTCAAAAACAGAGGGTACAGAGGGGATGACTGGCCTATGGTGAACATTGTCAGACTCTGTACATTTTCCATAGCTGTGACGTACTGCATGGAGTAATTGAATAGCACTCGGGTGAACTTAAAGTACTCAAGATGTGTAGCAGAGGCCTTTTATTAACTCTGAAAGATAAACTAAGAAATGTTGGAATGCAGAGGGAGTGGCCCAGTCTTTGGGAAACTTTAGATAAGTATGTAGAAACAGGTTCAGTATAAAACAAATAGCGATTTGAATATTAGTCATGGACGCCTGTGAATACCAAGCGTTCTTAGACTGTTTAAGCACGTCTGATTTGTTGCACAGGAACAAGTGGTAAAGGACAGTTAAAAACAAGGAAGAAGTTCGTTTTTTACTATTTGTGAAGATATGTTAATGTGCTTGTCCCATAGCAGAGAGAATATTGTTTTAAAACCTCAATTATTTTCTCTAACATTTTAAAATCTTATTGGTTGTGAAGTCGTACACATACAATTGGAGGAGCAAGGTGTCTCAGATCACTTGAGTGTGGTGATTGAATTCCCAGGATGCATTACCTTGCATCCTTCCACGTTCCTATTGGAAAACTGAGGCATTGTTTACAATTCTTCCCATACCTGTAGAATCTTAACCAAATGAACAAGGTGTCCATGTTTTGAGCCACAATCCGCACTTCCTACTACCTTGTCCTACAACATTTTCAAAAGAGTAACTGTCAGTGCCCAAGGTATTTGACCCTCTGCAATCCTTGCGTTGATGGCACCAACAATCTGTCACGCCCTGTACTCCTAGAGGGCGCTCTTCTTCTGTTCTGTTCCTAGTCCCCTGTGATTATCCGTCTCTTTCAGGTGTGTCTTGTTGTCTAGCCTATTTACTTCCTGTGTCTGCTCTGCTCCTGGCTCAGCATTGAGGTTATGGAAGTCCTAAGACCCACCTAGCACCAGGTCACTCCTGTCCGTGGCCTGAGGGCATAGGTTTCTTAACCGACATCATCTCAGCTAAATTTCTAAGTGTTTTTTATGCTTGTGTTTTAATCTCTTGTATTGCAAATCAATCTCTGCTTTGTGATGTGTATGAAACATGCAAGAATTCTTCCACTATTGTTTTTTCTATACTCTAAATGTTTTATGTCTTAAAACTGGAATTTAGACTTAAATATGGATGCCTTTGTGTTATGTTATGAGCCTGGGCTAACCCCCGTGTTGCCCCTTTTACCGTCATGCTTACGGTCTTTACTGCTCTCCTTGTCATTCCACGGCTTGCCCTCCTGACATCCGTGACAGTAAGAGCTGCCCTAATTCGCACAGTTCTGGAAGTGAGATGCTCCAGATCCTGCTTCTCCCCCAGACAGCAATATTTATGAACCTGACATGCTGTACATATACAATGATGCTCGAAAGTGGCACTGATCTTTTCTAAAGACCATGTGTTTGTTAAATTGAGGTAACTTTGAGGTTTCTTTTTTGTCTTCCCTTCCATGTTTCCCGAACATAGGCTAATTTTGTGCTTTCAGCCAACAGCTTAATAACCTGGCTCATATTCTAATATATTACCTGTTGTATAATGAAAATTTTTACACTGCCTGTCAAGTTAGCTTTCAGATGTCTAATGTACATACTTTTATAAGCCACGTCTCTGAGCATGGAGCAGCAGACTCTTAAAAGGTTTTGTCAGACATCAGTCGGGTGTGAACTCTATAAACAAATGTAGGAGACTAATGCAAATGTTGGGACTGTTTTTTGCCATTAACTCAAGAGAATTTTCTCAGAGGTGCCTAAGAAATGCCAAGTTCAACGGCTTGATTTTTAATGGCAGTGTTAAAGCTGCCCTGTAGCTGTAAGAGGATGGAAAATGTACATATAAAGCTGTAGTTAATGCATACTTAACATGAAGTAAAATGAAACAGTAGTCAAGAAATGGAACAAACTAGAGTCTACCTTGTTTGCTGGATGACCTTGTGTATCCAAAAGGAAACGAAAAGGACATCTTGCAAAAAAATAGTTTTATACTTGACCAAGGAAAGCACAACATTTGTTGTTGATATAACCATGATTAAAATGAATTATAGTGTAGACATCCCAACCTACAGTACATCTCTGCAAAACACCTGTGGGGCTCATGTCCTTCTTTTGTTGTAATTTCAATTTATTTCCCAAAACACTTGTTTTCCTCAATACAGTACCCAATGATGATTCCAGTGACCTGCAGTTAACAGGTCTATAACTTTTCTTAGGGCCACTTAAACATACTGTACCAGGACATTTCAGCATTGGAATTCACATTCCTATATAATTGTTTTCCATTTAGAAACACAATTTGGAAATTTAATGAGCAAAAGTCCCTTTTGAAATGTCTGTTGTGCAGAAGAAATACCCTAAGTCCAATGCAGTGGTTTTGCCTTCTGTCCATGTTTGTAATCTTCAAAATGACAGAATATGGAGAGAGCTGCAGGGAAAACCATTTTTTGCTGGATAATTCTAAAGAAATCTATTTGTTCTTAACATATAAGGAGACAGGAACCAGAGAAGATTCAGGAGATTAAGGCATTTGTTATACCAAATTTAAATACAAATGCTCCTTGGTTTATTTAAAACTACACTTACACAAATGCAACTTTTAATAAAACCACTGTAATTTTTTTTTTCCCAGGGAACTGCTCAGGATCATGTCAGGCTTCTTTAAATACAACGTCCTTAAACAACTTCTGCTATTTACTTCTGCTACTTCTGCTATTTAATCCATTAGTTTTGTTTTCATTCTACAGAGCATGTTTAATCCAAGCATGATTTTTATTCATTTCATTACAAAGTATATTCATTACATATTAAAAAATAAGTTCAATAGCAATTAAGGCTCAAGTTAGAAATCGGACTTACAGAACAGATTCCTCTTACATAAGACGAGGGCTGTCTGTACTGTATAGTTTGCCAGTAGTTTCCTAATAATAGAAATATAGAGTAAACATTACATGTAGAAACTTATTTAGATTTACAAAATTAAATTGCAAATCTATTTCTTCCTGAAACAGTTGGGATCTTGAGTTCTTAAGATGGAGGTCTTTAAGAAGATCATTAAACATTTAAATTAAAGTTTGAGTTTCTGTAACACCACTGTTATGACTATTGATATACGGTATTGTGAGGGGTTAATCTCTCCATGAACTTAAACCTGTCGTGTGTTTGCATAGATATAATTTTTTGGGGGGAACCTTAATTTACACCTCAGAAGGAAGTAGGCACGTTAAAGCAGGCCGACACATTAACTCTGGCAATCGAGTTTTAAGAGGGTGTGAAGAGTAGTGCTGACAGCAGAAGTGATTCACTGGGAAAGGGGACAGAGCATGCCTGTGGAATGAGTGTGCTCATTGTTGACAATTTATAATGCTGGAATGGACTTTTCTGAAGTGTGAGGTGGAGTTCTTGATTATGTAATTGGGAGAGTGTGAATTGGCAGTGCCCTTTTACACCATGGCCGCGAGAAAAGTTTGAGCATTTGTTTTATTGGTTCTTAGTATGTCAGCTATTGAAAAGGAAAACAACAGCAATAATGAAAACATCTACAATGAGCAAGTGCTCAGGAAGGCCAGACACATGGTTTTGAAATATCTTCAGAACAGAAAGCAGTTATGTTGAACAGCCTCCTGTAATAACATATTAATTTCCTGTAGAAACTCTTGTTTGCTGTCTTTTCTCCTAGATAGCTACAGAGCACACCTCTGTTACTGTCACTTTGCCAGCATTGCATAATGTGTAGTCTGTTGTCTAAGCAGTTCACATATCTGTGTCAGTTCCCTCTATGGCTATCAAATAGTTCTTCCTTCCTTCAGTTCCTTCCTTCCTTGATGTCCACTTCTGTTGCTGAAGCAGGAAGCACTGTGGGGACTCTCTGCTAAAACACCTTAGCCAACTTTCCATGTATTGTCTAATGAATCCCAAAAGGCAAGCCTCTCTCACTGGAGATTTCCACAATCCTGGCATTGAAGAAAAAAAGTATTTTATTTCAAGAAAGCAGACAATTACTTATATGTGCGCCTACATGGAAAGAAGAAGTGTCTTTGAATAGAAGTATTTTTTTAATAATCATTTTGTCTGAAATCCTACTTTAATGACTATGCATAGCCTGGTGTACTGGCAAGGGGGACAGTTATGTAAGGTAAGGCGGATGTTATCAGAACATTTTCCTGTTTGAGTTCCTGTGCAGTGCTTTAGGTTTTAGTGAAAACTAAATCATTAATCATTTACTTTTGGATTACTAACACAGGGTGTAATGTAGCAGGACTGATCAGCATTAGAGTGCATTCAATTCAGCTGCATCGAGAAATTATAGATGAATGAAGCAATTTGGAAACAGTGGAGAAAGACAGCACGACAAGAGAAAAAACTCAATTGTGCAATTCCTGCAACTAGAAAAATATTGTGAAAAATGGAGAGAGAACTGGTGATGAGACAAACCATTGGGTAATATTTACAAGTCACTTTTAGTTCATTTACAAACAACACTCATCAACTCTCAGAAAAATATCAGGAAAGGGCATTCATAACAACCAGCTGACAGCTAACAGCAAATGTTGACTGATGGAGGGACTTCTTAGATAAAATATTTAGACATTTACTCTGGCAAGTTTCTGCTATAAAATATCTCTATTAGCTTAGGAGACAGATTTTAAAACATCTGTGATTTGCTAGGATTCAGGTTTGCACCTCATCATGTATGCTCACATTAGGTGACACTGGAGAATTACAAGATGTCTCACAAGTTGTCTTGTTGGAAATAGTTTGCCTTCATGCCATGTCAGTAGCTAAAAACTTAATTCAAAGCCAGGTGCACATTTCAACACTTGTAGAGTGGTAGAGGTAGAGGTAGAGGCAGCTGGGCAGCACATTTTTTGTTCATATATGATATACCTGTAAAGTGAGAAGGAGGTTTGTATTGTGTTTATCTTAATTTAAGGACAAAGCTTCAACAGGATTTGTGCTGTATTTCTGACATTCATTATCACCTTTCCTTATGTTGCTTTAAATTGTTTCCATGAATTGCTAATGTTTGGCAGTTAGATGTGATGGCTAGGACATAGCAGTTTCCTTATTTATATATATATACAAATATTCCACTAGTTTTCCCTTTTCTATGAAAACAACTACTTTTGATGGTAAATATGGTCAGTTTAACAAGAACTGGCAGTACGTATGTTTGATGTGGTATATATTTTTTTTGTCAGTGACACATTAAAGTAGAATTTAATTGTTTCAAAATCATGTGTTTACCTGCTGGTTTCTGCAAAGTTTACATATGCTGTTAGTGAAATATTTTCATTTAGTAATGTTTTAATGTTTTCCATTAGTTTGTGGAGATATGTAATCTATATTCATTATAGATTGTATTAGACTTTATAGTTTTCAAAGGAATTCTGTGGGAAGTGGCAGAATTGCTTCTTTACTAGTATTATTAAAAATAAATTCCCTATAGTAGATCTGTCGAGCATTGAAATATTGATGTAATCACATTTCTGTATTTGTAATGATTTACAAGGGAAATGAGTCTTTAAACAGGAAATTATACTCACTTACCAAACATTGGGAACAATGATTCAAATATGTCAAATTAAATGACTCTCTTAGTGACACTATTATGTATCTTTAATCATACATAATATGATTTATACTGTAAATGTTCATGAATTAATTTAACCTTTTCAACCCCGGAACATCAATGATTCAGTATAACTCTTGTTCAGGAAAAATAGATTGCTCAAGTTGTGGAAACCCATGCGTTTACCCAATGTGTGCCATAGTATTTCCTTGATGTGTGTGTTTCAGCTCGAGACCAATGTAAGCTGCCCGGACCAACCCACCATGGTGGCCCAGCCCTTCTACAGAGTGGATCTCTTCAATGGGAACATGAAGGACGTTCTACTGACATCTGTGCTTGTCACCCCTATCAATGACAAAACAGTAGCACATATTGGGACATCAGAAGGGAGGCTTTTGCAGGTATAGTGTGGAATATTTGCCAAAGATGGACCTGCCTGCTTTATAGATTTTCACCTTCTATCTTTAATTGTGGGAGGGGATGCTGTAACTTTAGTCACAAAGGTTCAACAATGAAGGTTTGCTCTGTTTCATTGCTAGACCTCTTCAGTAATCCTTCTAATTTGTGGGAAAGCCCAGAGCAACGAATATGTTTTTAATATTTTCGGAAGAAATGATGAGAAAAAACAACAAACACAAAAACAAACTAATGTGAGATGATGATGTATTAGATGATTCGTGTTTCTGCCCTCTAAGAGCCTTTGCAAATAGTTTTGTGTCCAAGTTTGATTCTGTAGCAATTACGGCTTGTTCCTAGAGCCTTCAAGTGCGACACATCAGTTTGAGCTGATCTAAGATCTCTATGCAATGAGTTTGTTCCCCATGAAAATTTGATAGAATTGTTGGTATTAACTTTACAACTTCTAAAGCAAGGTGCAACGAAATTACATCTAGTTTGAACAGCTGCCTTTAGCTGTTTAATCTATGTAGAATTGAACTAATCAAAAAGACAGATCAACAAAATATGGCTACATAAAAATCAAGCTCCGCTCTCTATTTTGAATACAAGAGCAAAATATTTTACACTCTCGTATTTTTCTCTTTATTAAAAACTATGAGCTGCTTTTCAAAGAAGTTCAAGTTCAAGAAGTTCCAGGCAAGGCAAGGCTTGCCGAGATAGGCTCTGGTGTGTATTCTGTATTCAACTCTGTATTGGATAAAATGGTTAGAAAGTGGATGGATATTAAAGGAATAAATCCCGCCAATGTAGTGCATTGCTGACACAGCTACCCACCTGAACTTCATATGTGGGAGCCTATTATGGAAGGTAGTATTACCCCTTTGAAAACTAAACAGTGTAGAATTCTTCCATGGCAGGAGATGCACTCTTTTGGTGTAGTGGAGTTCGAAGCATGTAACATGTGACACTGGGTATATTTTTAAGTTTGTGAGTAGTTGTAATAGATTCCTGACAGGGCAGAGCTGACCTGCACCTACAGTATATACACATGAGCTAAAAATGAGCACAGTGTTTCAGATGGAATAATTGTGCCTTGAAAAATAAAAGTAAATAGGGTCTATAATAACCATAATGTACTGACATATTGTCTAACGGGCTCTTTTCATTTCTGTTTTGCAGCTTGTCCTGAGAAGAACAAGCCCAATTATCTTTGCTAATTACTCCCTGGAGCAGAATCAGCCAGTGTCTTCAATAGCCTCTGATTACACATCAGACTCCTTGCTATTTGTTATTGGTAACAAGGTATTTTAACCGCTATCAACCCTAACTAAAAAAAAGACGCAATCATTACTATGAACCTCATATTAAAACAGATGTAATTATATTAGCAGGTTGGTATGTCTTGCATTTTACAAATGAATCATGCATATTCTACTTTCCACACAGGGATTTTTGTACTGTGGAGGTAGCATGGGAGAAATACTGTATGCAGATGCATGACCCATGTATTGTGTATCATGGGAGACCACTGCCAAACTAATGCTTGTGAGAACTCACATATTTGCTCCGCTACAGTTGATGTGTTGACACAAATCATGATATAAACTTGTGTTTAGTTATTGTGTTTAATTAGTAACAACAGACTCTTCTTTAGGGTATCAGAACTGGTTCACAGCCTGTCTTTTGTTTGCAGATGATCAAAGTGCCTAAAAGAGGACCAGGCTGTCGGCACTTTCTCATTTGTAGCTCCTGCCTGGCTGCCCCAGAGTTTATGGGCTGTGGCTGGTGTGATGGGGTTTGTACCTGGAAACAAGAGTGTTCCACCCAGTGGAGAAACGATTCATGTCCACCAGTCATCACTGAGGTATTGGAGAGGGACCTTTATTTCTGAATTTGAACTTTGACATTTGAACTTCTGATGTTGGTTTTGATTTAGTCTGACCTGAAGTTATTGAACCTCTCTATTGTTTACCAAAAAGGAATTAAACTATTGTGTTTATCAGTTAAAATAAAACAAAATGAATCCAATTATTGTCATTATTTAGCTAGACTTTATTTTCATTAAAGGACTGCTTATATCGTGGAATTGGATAAGATTACTTAGATTTGATATACAAATCTAGCCACAGATATGACCCATTAAATTGAATGTAAAAAAAATATCAGTGATGTTCACATTATAAGTATTATAAGTAGAGTTATATTTTGCTCAGTTTGCTATTGAAAATGAGGAATGTATCATTTCTCATTCTTACAGATATGGAGAGTTTATTTTAGATTGAAACTGGGTAAATAATCAGCATAAATAGATAACGTGTTTCTGTTGCTGTTCCAGTTCTTTCCAAAGACAGCACCTCCTGATGGCAACACAGAACTGTCACTGTGTGGATGGGATCTCCAGTCCTCACCGAAAGCTGCCATGAGTGCCAGCACTCATAAAGTGAATGTGGGGCAAACAGCCTGTGTGGTACTGCCCAACAAGAGCAGCAACACCCAGTGAGTGTCCAAAAGGCACTAAGCCATCTCATGTCTTAGCTTGGGATGTGCATTTCAATCAATACACATCTGTGTTTTGAGTCCACAGAAATTAACAGCTTTTTATAAAAATTAGCATTTGTAGTGAGTATATAGAAGTGGGTATTTAACCTTCAAAATGTACATCTTAAAGAAAAGATGTTCGTTTGGTATTTTTTGCAGTTACAAGGAAGCACTACAAAAGACATACTGACTGGAGTCTTTATTAATGTGCAGCTTTATTCGCTAAGAATATCGTAGTGCACTAGGATTTTATTGGAAGATAAATTATTTCACTTGATTATTTTTCTTTCCTAGACTGGTTTGCCAGATTGAGTCAGGTGCTAATGAGCTGTCTCAGCCTCTGCAGATCACTGTTGAAGTCCATGAAGCAAAAGTGGAAGGTCGATATTCTATCGATGGGAAGGCACAGATCGAGCAGTTTATCTTTGTGGTAATATGTCTAATTAGCTTTCTTATTGAAGGCTAGACAGTTTTACTCAGGTTAAAAATATACCTTTTTACAAGTGTATATATTTTTTCATCTGCATTCTTCATTATTCCATTATATACTCAGGATGTATACATTGCCTATGGCACATAATAGTCAGAAGTGTATTTATAAAAATAGGTTTCTCAACAATAACATGGTTTTAGTCAGCATGGAGTGTAATTCAGAGTAGGAGGAGCTGAGCAGTGAGAAATGTCACATAAATAAAACAAGTGGCAGGCAAAATACAGCCTCTAACATGAGGAAGAGGCACCTTTACACTGTAAATTAAGGTTTAAAAAACTATAGTATAACTCAAAGTGTTCTCATTGTTGATACATGTTTCTGACTTGTCATCTTTGTCCAGGAACCCGATATCACTGAGATCCAGCCGGACTTTGGGCCCATTGTAGGAGGGACCATGATAACAGTGATTGGGCCTTACCTGGATTCAGGAAAACACAGGAGAGTCCTTCTTGATGATAAGGACTGCCAAATCAAGAGGTAGCAACATTTAGATTGTGATCAAATGTCTGTACAATTGAAATTATGGCTCTCTATGGCTGTTAACAAGTATTGCCCTTAATAAAGCTCATCCTTGCCAGCACATTTCCCATAACATTGTCTTATTCCCATAATCTTTTAACATCCATTTCTCTCTTGCTTGTGTTGTTTATTGGTTAGTCCCTGGTACCCTGTCTTCAAGCTTGACTCTACATAGTAGTTTGCTGTGTTTGTTATCACCAGGAACACATAATGATGTCTAAACGTATCACAACACTTACAGTATATTATTTAAACCTTTGTACTTTACTCCTTTTAAATTTTTTGGGGGATAAGTGCTAAATTGTACTCTGGTCAGAGGTTTTATCACACTTCCTTTTGAATTACTTTAACTCATAACAGAATCTTTGATGAGTTCCATTGTTGTGTAGTGATGATCTTTGTGCCTCTGTATTCATGCAAAACAAACTCTAATCAAAATAAAATGTGTGCTTTTATTTTAAACTGCAGATTTAAAATAAATGTTTTGTACTAGCAGACCATTAAATATGTCCTTAATCTGTCAAAACTGAGGACAACGAACTTGCACAAGGATAACTTGGCCATATACTCGACAGTAGCTGATTGCTCTTGTCTGGTCCTTTCAGTGTTTTGCAGATAGAAGGGGGGACCTCTTCAATCACTTGTGTTGCTCCTGAAGTGGAAGCTGTGAAAGATGCTGTTCTGGTGGTGAAGATTGATGCAGCTCAAGCACCTAACACTAAAGTATTCCACTATAAGCCAACACCATCCATTTCCCAGATCCTTCCGTACTGTAGCTTTGACAAGTAAGTGTGATTGTGGAGGTGCTCTGCTCCAAGAGATGTTTTTTTCTTCAAAATATTTTTTTTAACTTTGTTTTCTTTGTTTTCTTTGTATATTGTTTTCTTTGAAAATTGATTCAAGTGTATAATGTTTAACATTTCTGTGTTGTCCTCTGACACAGGGGATCAAATATTACTATTAAAGGAGAAAATCTGGATTCTGTCTACAAGACTGTCATAATGTTTCAGCCTACAGAGAAGACCCTAAAGCCTGTGTTTAAGGTGATCACTAGTCGTAATGCATTTGCCCCAGATCTGTCTGTTGGCTTTATCGAACAACAAAATATCAGTAGCTCTCCTGATAGAACTATCATTATATTATATTATAGTGTTTTAAGTTATTTAGAAGCACAGAGTATGTGTTCATTTGTAGCTGACACACCAATGAAAAGTTAGCAAGTCTCAATACTTACAGTAGTGTGGTTTTATCTCCACTGTTTTCCTGAAAGAAGATTTAATCAGGGAATGAGCACTTCAATTCTCTATAGTCCTCCAGTTTATCAAAGTAACAAGTTTGTATTTTTATATTTAAACTAACATTGATGCAGGATTTATTTATATTTTTCAATGATCTGATTTAAAATCTAGAAATTTAAATTACCCTAAAGTTCCTTTTTAGTACACAGTATCTGAACATTGACTTATATCAATTCTGCTTTCTGTGTACTTGAGATGAGATGGGGCAAAACATGAGATTTAAACTTTATAGATTTTGAAAAATTCAAATTTATAAAATGCTAATGCTGTAAACTATTCTTAATGAGACTTCATATGTGCCCATTTGTTTACGTAACTTTTTTCCTTTCCAATTGCACTATTGCCTTAAATACACATCTGATTCTCAGCTTTGTATCTAAATTTGAAAAAAAATCATTTTAATTTGATGTAGTTTTTAAATGAAGTAACTTCAGTAATACTACAAGAAGGAAAACAGAAGTCCAACAAACATTTATTCATTGAGGATCAGCTCTGACACAAGCACACAAGATATTTAGCTTTGTAAAGTGAAGACAAATGCAGAAGATTATTTGTTCAAGGAATGCTTGTTTTGTTTGTCTGAATTTATTGTGTCCTGTTCATTGTCAGACTTGCTGACCTTATCTTAAACACATCTTGATGATCATACTGAGCATGGCAATGTTTTTTTACCATTTTAAATTACCATAATAAATTACTTCACTCCTGCCTGTGCCATTCTTTTATATTTTAAAAGCCATGGAGCTGAAGTTCAAAGCCTAAAATGTTTGCTTCTTTATCTGAAATGTCAACAGACATAACATACAATTGAATAGAATGTTCAAGTAATTGTTTACTCTTTTAAATATACTGATGTTCTGTACTTGAGTGAAAATGACTTCACCGTAATTTCTCCTCAGGAGTGTAAAACTGCCTCAAGCCCCACACAGATGGAATGTGAGACCCCCTTTTTATCACTTAGGGAGGATAAAGAGAAAGGGGAACTCTCTGTAAACATGGACGGAGCTGTTGAGCTATGGAGAAAGAAGTTTTTGTACTTTCCTGATGCAGAAGTTATCCCATTCGAACATCAAGACAATATTTTACGCCTGCATCCTGATCAGGATGAAGTGTCTTTACACGTATGTAAGCTGTAATTCTGCCTGCATTTTGATACTTGGGGCATACAGGAATAAACCAAGTAACTGATAGTAGTGGTTCAAACCCAGTTTGGACCAAATGCTCTGCAGTCATCCATGCAGGATGTAAAGAATTTAAAAAAATGAAAGAATGTGTAGAATCTTGAAAAACTAAGAAAAAAACCTATTTGGGAGAACTGTTATTTATTTTGCATGTTGGCATTTTTTAGCGCTGTGGTTTCTCTAAACGAAGCATATTGTTGTAGTTATGATGTGTGTTGTTACACCTGAGATTATGGCTTCCAAGTTGCTGAAGCAGAAAGCAGTGTTCGTTGTGTACAGTACATGACGTCCCACAGCCCAGATTTCTCTGCTCTGAGATGATGTCATCTTTGCCATGTCTTACCAAAGTAAACAAACCCTTATGACTTACAGTGAGTTAGTTTTCAGGGTTGTCATATAAAGCAACTTAATACCTAAAGATTTTGGAAACTCTGTAGTGGACACTATGAGGCTCATAGTGTCAGTGTGAAATGGATTGCACTTCTGAAGACTAGATCAGGTAGTAAAGGAACAAGTGATAGGTTTATTCCATTCTGAGAAGAGAAAAAAGTAAACACAACGTTTCGGCTGTGGAGCCTTCTTCGGGTGTGAGAAAGATAGAGCAGACAGCAAAGATTAAATAGCATAGGAGAACTTGTTTACTTTCTTCTCTTTTCAGCATGGAATAAACTTATTACTTGTTCCTTTGCAGCCTACACATGCTGACGCAGCTACCCACCTGAACTAGATCAGGTAGTTTTCAGTGATGGTGTCAGAAAGCAGGCCAAGATTTGGGGAAATGTTAAATGATTTGTTTATTAAGTTAAATAAAAATGTCAATATTCATTAAATACAAACAATGTTAGCTAAGAATGTTAGCTGCTTAGATCAGCTTTGACTAGAAGTATCAGGAATGTCAGTACTGTCATATGTTTTTTTAGTCATGCTACATATTTGAAAAAAAGTAATCAGTCTATTATCCAAAAACAAAATCCGAGCAACTCAGGTTCTCCTTCTTAAGCACACAAATTTTGAAAACTTGAAGACAATTGTTAAAGCATAAGCAATTTTTTATTTCCAGCACAAGAAGCTGAACTTGGTGAGTTCATGCATGAAAGTCATAATGACAGTGGGAGGAGTGGACTGTAATGCTAGAGTCCTGGACAATGAAATTACCTGCAGGATTCCCAAAAACATCATCATTACCAATGAAGGTTTGCCTGTAAAGGTGAGCTACTGCTGCTGCTGAAGCACATTGTTCAACCCGTTGGAAAATTCCTCAGAATAAACGCTGTTAAATAGTAATAATATACAGCTGCTTAAAGTTCTTGTTGTGTTTCTCAGATCTCCATCAATGGACAAATTCAGGACCTGGGTAGAGTGGTCATTGTGAATGAGAGCCAGCCTGTGGTGGGAATTGTGCTGGGCATCCTCATGGCTCTGTTGGTTGGGGCAGTACTTGCCTTCGTGGTAATGAAACAGTTAAGGAAAAAGAAGAAAGGTAAAGGCAGTTTTCCCTATTGTTTTCTGACTTAAATCCTTTTATGTTACAAGAAAGACTTAAGACACAGAAATGGCATAGTCATGGTCATGTCATAGTCTTGGAGGTCAAAATGCTATGTGCTATTTGCAAAACAAAACAGAAAATCTAAACTTTCATTCTAGATTATTGAATTTTTTTATACAGTATTTCGAACATTGTCAGATGTCGAGACCAGGATGTACGATCATTTTTATTGGATGGTTTCCGCTGAGCTCGGTAGAACAGTGATTCAGCATGTTCTGATCGTAAAACGCATTTTACATTTTTCAGCTGCCACGGCAGAGAACCATTTATTGACTTTTCGTGACACCGATCATAACAGAGCTGGCTCTCATTTAGACTCCCCAGTCGGCGATTACAGACGAGGTAAGACTTCCCCATATTATCTTTTACTCTGTGACAACAAACAATATATGGAGATCACATGCTTAACAAGGTGAAATACTGTAATTCAGCATTGCTTTATTTTTCCTTCCACTGTGAAGCACATTACAAAGAAAATAAGACTACCCCCTTTGCTCTTTGTCTTTCCCTTAACTCTTAACCTCTTTGTAAATAGAAAATAAAAAAGTCTGCTCAACCTCTATGACATAAGTCAGAACTGCATGAAGGTAATCAACAGCATTTTTGTTGGTTTTCTTCTTTGCTTAACAAGAAGATATCATACATTTAAGATATTTTTAGGACAATTAATTAAGAAAACTTTTCTGGAAAGCTGCTTTTCTGTATTTCTGAGTGGGTTGTGACCTTAAAACCATTTCTGTTCATGATGGTGCTTTTTTAAAAAAAATCTTTGATGGATTTTAAAGGATTTAAATCGCACACAGCAGCAGGTACAACAGGATTTTTTGAGGATTTTCAGTGTTCAAGTAAGAACACTGAGAAACTGCATTCATGTTCTCTTCATCCTGTCTGTTGCTCTTCATGCTCACAGTAAGGGTAACCCTGATACTGTGTCTGCCCCCAGAACTGACCAGCACAAACTCTGTAGGGGTGACCATTCCAGGCCTGATCTACACTGGCAGCCATGAGGCTTCTCTAATGCCACTCCTGCCTCCTGAGAAGATCTCGATCACCAGCTTCCGTCCAGAGCTCCTAGAAGAAGTAAAGGATGTGCTGATTCCAGCCAACATGCTCAAAGTGCATCAGGACCAAATCATTGGAAAGGGTGGGACTTCTTATTTTTAAATATTTCAGTATATTTATATTAAAATACTGGCACATCATGGAGCAGTTTGGCTTCAGCTGACTGTATATATCATACTGACTATATATGATCATAGAATGTATGAACAGCCGTCAGCTCCAGTATTTTCTATTGAGCACAGGATATCATCTATTCAATATACAGTAGATTCAAAATCTTAATTGCTCTTTAATTTTAATGATTAAATACGTGCACCTATCCCTACATTTATGAATGCAATTCGTTCCTTGAAAACTGTATGTAAGATCCAACATTAGTCCCATAGTTTACAAGATGTTAGAATATTATAGTTCAGGTTTTATGTTGAAAGTATCTTCTGGGTAGAAAGGAGATTCTAGCTACTGATAAGTTATTATCGAGAACTGTTTTCCTTTCATGTTTCAGGTCACTTTGGAATAGTTTACCATGGATATTTAAAGGACCCTCAAAACAGAGAAATCCATTGTGCCGTTAAGTCACTGAACAGTAAGTACAAATCTGTTATGTGTCTGCATGCTTGATAAATTGTCTTTGGTAATGGATGCTATAGAATATGTAGATCCTATAGGGTAGATATTGGGATGGGGTGAGGGGTTGTGTAGGAGTTAATGAGTATAGAGTATAGAGTGATTATAGAAAAGACTTAGGAGATAAGAGCTAGGAGGCAAGCCAGCAATAACATCCTTAGACTTAGAATGTGAGCACAGCTTACTGCATATAAAAAGCTTGTGCCTACTGTTGAGAGCATAACTGCAGATCCTTCTAAGGCAAATTGTTAGATTAAAATAAATAATTTTCAAAGCTTTGTTAACAAGGTTGGATGAAAGGAATGAAAAAACAACATTAATTTGAACTTTAAACATTATTGGAGTAGTACAAATATCATCGATTAAAGACAAGTGAAGGATGTTAACTAAATTAGTTTAATTGTTTTAGTCAGTTGAAATATAATATATTCAGACAGTAAGTTTGAATAATTGACATGTCAGGAGAAAAGCAGAGAACTGTGAAGTTTCATAATCATTTTCTGAAGTTATAACTTCCCTAGTGCAGAGCTCCATCAAGAAAGTCATTGAGTGCCCTTTCTTAGCTGAGCTGAGGTCCTGTTGTTTTAGGAATCACTGATGTGGAGGAGGTGGAGCAGTTCCTGAAGGAAGGCATCCTGATGAAGGGTTTCCACCACAGCAATGTGTTGTCCTTGCTGGGCATCCTGCTGCCCAATGAAGGCCTGCCGCTGGTGGTGCTACCCTACATGAAGCACGGAGACCTGCGACACTTCATCCGCTCTGAGCACCGGGTGAGAACTCCAGAGCTGTCTCGACAGTACGCTGATAGCAAGCTTAGACATTATCTTGAGGATGTGTCACAGATTTTCTCTTAGTCCTTTAGTATCAGACTGTCACATACATCAGCACTTGATGGTTCACTTCCCAACATCACCACCCCACCCAAAAAAATCAGAATCAGATTAGCTCAAGTCCTCTGTGAGAAAATTAATTATAGGCTTTGGAAATAGGACAGATCCATGTGAAATGTTACTAATAGGCCTTGGCATAGAGAATGTAACAGGACATCAGGCACATTTTGGGGCTACTTCAGATACTGCAGTATCTGTTAGTTAGATTTAGGTGTCTTGTAGTCCAGATGGTCCTTTTAGAAGCTTCATATTTATTCCAGGTATGTGAACACAAGAGAACTGGACAATTCCAATATGTTTGGAGGTCCAAATATGAGTTTAGCCAAAGTATACTTCAGACCACTTTCCAAGCATAACTGTATGTCCACTGCAGGTACATTTAGTGAAAATGCTGCATTATATTTAGTTTTCTCATTTGCTGTGCTGTGAGATGATTTCATAGCTGAGTGCATGTTTGGTGATTAAGAGGGACACCAAAATTGCTGTCCGTCTTTCAAAAAATCAACCATCTACCTGAAAAGCAATTTCTGAGGCTTCCTCTCTGGTCTTCTTTCTCCTCCAAGAATCCCACAGTGAAGGATCTTATTGGCTTTGGTCTACAAGTTGCCAAAGGGATGGAGTACTTAGCACAGAAGAAGTTTGTGCACCGAGATCTGGCAGCACGGAACTGCATGTGAGTCATTGCCACCACATTCAGGCTGATAGAAAACAATGAACTATTCTGTCCCTTGAGATCTGGATCTACTGTACCTTTAAGATCAGAAGCAGGACTCCTTCCCTCAGAAAAGTTCCAGAAGAAAAAAAGCACTTTAGAGATTGGTAAATAATAAAAATGGGTAAATTGGTGAGTCACATTGAGTTGGATAAAATTAAGGTCACCCATTCAGCCATTAATTACCTTATAGTTTTTGTAAAACATTACAACTAAGTAATTAAACTGTAAACTTTCCGTTTTATGCCATAATGCAGTAAAGAATTGCCAAGAAAATCCCAAACTATTAGATGAATGTATTGTTATCATCAGCAAAGAACGTTGGCACAAACATTTAAAACTTTAAATTGTATGAACTGACATGCTTATTTATTATTTATTTAATTTATTATTAAGTAAGACAGAGAAGAAAAACCTCAACATAAATTTTGAAATAAACAGGGGGCAGCATCATACTTAATAAAACTCCTATTGTGCTGTATATGGTATCTCCTTATATTCCACATCTGGGGCCAGTTTGTCAGTCCCTCCTTGTCTGTAGTTAGCCAATGGCACAAATGAACACATCTCTGTAGCTGTTAATGAAGCCTGTAATACAGTACATTTTAGGTATGTTTCACAATAAAATAGGGAACAATTTTGCAATTTTGCTCTCTGTGGCTGAGCTAGGTGGTCCTAAAGGAGTACCTATAGCTAATACCCTAGTCTAAAATATAGCAATTATCGGACAACATCAATGATGAAATCATATACTGTATTTATTGCAGTAGCCCTGTGAAATAACACATTAATTTCATAGCAGCAAATCTCTTTGTGTTGTCAGACCTGTGTAATGTCAGATTAATCCACATCATACTGTGTCAGATGTGCCATCTGATCTAATGGCTTCACATAAATTTGAAAGTTCTGTCTCTGGAGAGATTTATGCTTTTCACATCCAGGTGATGCTCTTTCAGCTCATGACTCATTTAAACCCCATCCTTTCACCATCCTTCAGATGTATTAGTTTATGGGAGGGCCTGAACTAATAAATATTAAAGACAGGCACATAGTGACGGTAATTTTTTATGGCCATGAACACATTTGCTAGTAACTCAGCTCTCTAAACACTAGTGTAGGCTATTTTTTATCCGTTTATATTTCATTTTAAAATTTGTCTTTGATTATTGCTGTTTCTTGTGGTTCATGTTAGCTTACTAACAGAAAAAAGGGATTGCTCATAACTGCTGTTCATATTTAATTGCATTATGCTTTATGTACAAATAGAAAAATTCTAAAAATACTTGCCGCTAACAAACCAGTCTTTAGCATGCTGAGCTTTCACCATTGGTGCCTTTATACATACTGGAGTTTTAATTGAATTGCCACAGGCTGGATGAGTCCTACACTGTGAAAGTGGCTGATTTTGGAATGGCAAGGGATGTCTTCGATAAGGAGTACTACAGTGTGCAAGACCACAAAAAGGCTAAGCTGCCGGTGAAGTGGATGGCAATCGAGAGCCTGCAGACACAAAAATTTACCACCAAGTCAGATGTGGTAAGTACAAGGCTGGGTGGAATTCTAATCTGAGTAGTAATGTTTGTTTTACAAGTGAGTTCTCAGAGCACCATCAGTTACACTGTAAATACAGCGTTCTCAATAAAGCTGCAGATGCACATTTAATTCTAAGCTATGTCACTCACAATGAAAACATGATAAACTTGCTTGGTAGTGGCTTTTGTAGCTTTGTGCTAAACCATATTAGCAAAATCTGCATATAATAGACTGCAAATGCAAGTACATTTACATAGTTACTGCTGATAACGGCTTTGTCTTGGTGTTCTAAAACTTGGAACATTTTGTATAATTTAATCTTTATAGCTAAAGACTCTGTGACCAGAGTCACAGAGTGTGAATGTTTGTGAATGTTACATAAAAAAGCAAAAAGGGTTTTTAACGTCACACTTTTGGAAGAATGCAAGGCTGTACATTTTTGTGCAGTTGCATTTAGCTTCTTTCTCAAAAACAATTCACCAAGCAAAACACAAACTTAGTAAAAGTGTGGCACCAAGTACACCTTTGAGAACTGATTTTTAATTATGTGATGAGCCACACCTGTAGTTGCCACACCTGTAGTCACTGGTGCCTCTCTGTAGTGGTCCTTTGGAGTTCTGATGTGGGAGATGCTGACCAGAGGAGCAAGTCCCTACCCTGAGGTGGATCCCTATGACATCACACATTTCCTACTGAAGGGCCGCAGGCTACCTCAGCCTCAGTACTGCCCTGACCCCTTGTGAGTACACTGCATTAGCACTGCAATCAGCCTGTTTAAAATGTTTAAAAAATCATTTTTTTCAAGGCATTCGAATTCCTCTGGCTTTTAGATTTTAGCTCTGCTCTCCATGTGTGTTTTTTTTACATATTTGCTCCCATTCACCATTGAAAAGTGGGGTTACAAAGCCAGTAGGAAGTGTCTCAGCTGCACACACATCCCTAATTTCAGTTCTTGGTTGTTCCATTTTCAATGGAAATAAAGTGGTCACATTTTTCAGTGTTTCAAAAGGACAATCTGTGTGACTGTTTCAATACAGTACAGTACAGAGCAAAACACAGAATAGGTCATCCGTATCACGACTAGTGTAAAAATAAAGAAACTGGTTATAACAAAGTATAGCAGAAATGGAGTAGACAGGAGGAGCCACAAGTTGAGTAGCCCTCAGTAGACTGACACATGCAAAAAGACTGGGATTTTGTAAAACTGAAGTTGTGTTAAATTAATCTGAGTTAAATTACATCACTTTGGTCTGACAAAAAAAAACGTCATTTCACTCTGGAATTAACGGCAAACTATATACTGTAGTCTTTATGGGTTCTGTTTATTTAATCTGTAAAATACCATTGCTTAGGAACATTGTGGTTACTTTTGGAATAGTTGTTCAGGACAGATTAGTATTGACTTGTAAACTCAAAAGCTAAAAACTTAAACAAGTAAACTAGTGACACCACTGTTTCACTTAATCAGTAGTTCCAAGCTCTGGTCCTGGCACAACACTGTGTCTATTGATTTTCAGTCTAGTTGCATTCTAACTCACCAGTGCTTGATCTTCTTGTTTAGACGTTCATTGAACATATTTCTTTGGTCAGTCAAAAATACACTACTTTAAGGATAGTGTCTCCAACAATTTCAGCACACAGAACAATACACAGCCAGTCTTCAACTTGCTAGTCATTATTCCTGACTACATTGCTCTTATTAATCGATCAATTGATATTGAACAGAGACACACCCATGATGAGTGCTCTTTCTTCTCTAGATGTTCTGTTGGTTATATTTCAAAAGCATGCGCTGACTGGGCAATTCTGAAACTGAAACTGTTCCAGGGTTGATACAAATTACAAATCCTGTGTGACCATTTAAGACCTAAGAACAGATTTACAAATATGCCCCAAATAAGGAACTGAGATCATTTAGCCTGTGTTTAAGAGCTCAGCTTTCAGTACATGCAGTCTTTCTCCAGGACCAGGGCTGATAACCAGTGCTTTGGATACTTAAAGGGGAACTGCAATGGTATTTTTATACTTCAGGGTTAGAAAGAATTAGCATTGATTAGTAAATTCCAAACCACAATCAAAGTTACATGTAAAACTTCCAGTTTACTTCACAAAATAGACAAAACTTCCAGGTACAATATGCACAGTGCCATATTGCCATCATTGTCTGTGATTCAGTCAGGCAACAAAACCAAGGCAACAAAACTTACAGTGACGTGAAAAGGCCCTGTTACATTGAAAGCAAGCAGGCTTTTGAATATCTCTTTTAATCCAACAAAAATGTTGCTCTCGTTTTTGAGATGATTGTGCCGACAAATACGCCTTACTTGTTAACTCTGAGTGCAGATCACGTTGGAACATTTCTCCGGTGAAACATCTGCTTGCACAACCTGTACTTATTCGCTCGTACATCACATTATACTGTATTTGTTATTACAGTGACTAGAGAAGAAGCAGCCAGTTTAAGGTATACTGTAATTCTTGCAAACTTGGGCTCTTGCCCATTTGTGATTATATTTAGTTAAACTGACGTCAGAAGCGTTTGTACAAACATTGCTTCAAGCAAACGGAAAGATCAATATTCCTTTTCCTCCCACCTTCAATAGGTATAGAATCATGCTGCAGTGCTGGGACCCTGAGCTTGAACAGCGGCCTACCTTTGCTCACCTTGTCGGCAGTATCCTGGACATTCTGTCAAACCTGGAGGGCGAGCATTACATTAACCTCAAAGTCACCTACGTTAACCTGGACCAGCCTCGGCCCTACCCAGCTATGACCGAGTCTGCGGATGAGTACGACTCCTCTGCTTCTGCCTGAGGATCGCAGTCATGCTCCCAGCGGGACGTCTCGGACCTTTCTTAAGATCATTCATGAATATTCATGAACTGGAGTTTTACTGGACTGCAAACAGCAGGGGAGTGCGATCTAAAGAAGAGCTGGGAAGAACAGGAGCTGGAGACAAGACTTGCAATGATTTCTGGGAAAAAGAGGAAGTGGAAACCAGATCTATGTGATCGGTGGCAAGACTGAACGTAATGATGTTGGGTGGTATGGCAAAACATCTGAACCTCCTGCCCATCGAGAGAGCACCATTCTTTCTCAGAGCGAAGTTATTCCGAATGATAAAATAAATTTTTATTAGAGCCCTAAATAGGACTGGTGTAGCTAATAAGCTAGTGGGCTTATTCTTCTTCATTTTTCTGATGTTAAGTGGATATATGGCTAACTGAACTCTGTATATTAAAAATACAGTCTCTAATTTTATTTTTGTCATAGAATGGAGATGTTCGGAATGAGCTTGAGTATCCTTGTCAGCACTTTTGAATGTGCCCTGTAAATAGGACCAAATTGTTGTCCTTCTGCCTGTATGAATATCTATATATTTGGAATATTCTGATTGTATATTTTGGATTAGTAATTTGTAAACAGGATAGCTTTTTATTTGAAAACATTTACATCTTCTTTCACCCTCCAAAATCTTTTTTTTTAAAATACAATGAATACATTTTATTTATGCATTTGTGATAGTGATGTATTGTTAGATCCAACCAGAAGGACCGTGAGGATAGTTGTAGGATATAAGTGACAGTATATTATCAGGAATGCACAGAATTATGTGAAAGAAACAGAAACAATGCCATGTGCTGCACGTTCAACACAAGCAATTTAAAGACTGTGACTGATTTAAACTGATTTACATAATTCAGGCTACATAGCTTATGACATGTTGGAATATTATATAATGTATTTGAAAAGTTGTTTAAAATAAAATTAAGCTATTTTCTACAGGCAGTAGACCAAAGCAGTTTCAATTAAGGGATCTCAAAGATCTCCACACTGGGAGAAAAAACATTGCTTTTGTCTCCTCGAATGAGGACACCAATTATTGTCCAATGGAGTGTTTTCACTTGCTTTCATTGTTCTGAGGCCTAGATGTAAGCACAAAGTAATATTTTGTTCTTACAGCATAATTGATCACATCAAGCCAGGCTGAAAAGCTATGGGACTACACCATTTAGCCCATCTAGTTTGTTTGAAGTTTCTTCATCCAGAGCTGAGCTATCCTAAAATCAGTGAAGCAGAAGGCTTTGTTTGTGGTCCCACTTTTCCAAGCTGTCTTTTTTGGGCCTGATACTGTATATATTGTAAAAAAGATCAAAGTTACAAGTAATGCCTGTGGCAATTTAACAGTCTCTTTATTTTCCCAGTCAAAACCCAAACAAATCTTCATTAAAGGATGAGAATGGAAGGACCAAAGCAGCCAAGCTTAGCAGAGATCTAAAAAAGCAAAATACAAAGCAGAGTAGCCAAACATCTATCTTTTCAGAGGTCTGCAAGAGTAATGCTTCAAATAAGTACAATTTTCCTTCCTCTTGTTAACTTCTATTTGCCATCAAAAGGCATACTGCTCATCTCCCTAAATACGTAAAACAGAAAATAATGTTCAAACAACATGTTATGAATAGTCAAATCGTTTTCCCATATAACACATAAAGTATGTGCAGTATACATTTTCCCCTGTGCCTATTATATTTTCATTATTACAGTTATTATTAAATATCAGAATAATTGTTTGCATGCCCATGTGAAGGTACAGTGTAAATGGATAAGAGAGCTCCTCTCCAGTACAGAAGTGTGTTATTGTATAAAAGTATTGTAAATTTGTAGTGCAGATTCCTTTCTTGTTTAAACCACACAAGTTTACATATTGTTTGAAATTGCCTGCTTAAAGAATTTCCTTGCAAGCTGTGCGTGGGTCCCCGTTATAGGCTTTGTGAGTATTTCATAAAATGCAAGATAGCACTGACCAAAATGCACACACTGTAAATGATCAAAAATGAACATCATCTTGAGGTAAGACCTGGTACAGACACTTAAATACATTCTGTATTAGTAGTAAGGCAAGCTCCACATTTCTCCGAGTACTATGAATAACAATATCTGCAGTGATCTGGGGTACCACAAATTGTGTAATAAGCAAATTCTGAGTCACCAAACCATCCAGACAGGACTCCTGCTGCTGTGTGCCACAGTATGGAACCCATCTCTTCAGTCTCTTCAAGAAACACCTGCTCAATACATCGCTGAAGTACACCTGGTTTAGGTCATGATTCCAAGGGTTTATATGGATTTCTGCTATGCCAGATGGAGGCGAGTATAACAAGCTTAGATAGACACCATTTAAGGCTGACAGACGAGGAGGTGTTGCACTGTGAATTAAAGAATCATCTAGAAGTCTATCACTGGATTTGGAAACAGCCCACCAGAATCTTGTTTTGATAACCACTTCCATGAAAACATCACAAATATTTGTAATGAAGAGGATGCCTAAATAATTGGAAATTTCAATCTTCACTCTTTGACTTAACAAGCTTGAAAAAACATTGGATGCCAAGAGAAGTGTAAATGCAAATAATATGTTTTTTTAGAACTAAAGAGTTGAGAAAGATTTCTGTATGAGAAAACATGGCTTTGGGTAACATCACACATGAAACACTCCAGACCCAGATGTCAATTCAAGGTTTAGGTAAGTTTAGGTTTTTCCTAACAAAACACTTCTCCAAAATAAGCTATACTATAGATCAATACTGTAAGTATTTAAGTAAGTCCAAAGAACAGCAACAAGACTCATTCCAGGGCTTAAGGAGTTGAGTTACTAGTCTGTGAAGTCTGTGATTCTATTTTAATTAAACTAATGTTGTCTAACACCCAGGAAAAGAAGGAAACTATCCATAATAGTAAGCAACAAACCTAGTTGATGAACATACAGTAAATGAGAAAACACTGTAGTAATTTTCACAAAACAAATGCCACTAGTGCATTCGCAACTGTAAAAATTGTGGTACCTAATATTTTCTGTTGGATATATCTATTTTTGAAAATGATTGCCTTGTGTGAGTACTCTTGTTTAATAAATCTACAGTACCTGCTTTTGCCTCTTAAGGAACCAGGGAACGTACTGTATGTCTGACTAAACTTAAGTATTTCACAAATCAAATGCTTTTGCAGGTAAAAAGAAATTGTGAAATCTTCACAAAAATATTTTTATGTACAAATAATATGTTAAAAAACAGAACAGTGATGTTAATTTTTCAGTGTGTAAACATTTCTTAAAGATATCGGTGCAGTTTTTCTTCTTTGATGGTCTGTGCTTTACGATTGCTAACAGCAGGTGGTACCATATCTACATGTATCTCAAAATCTGTTCGAACACCTCAGAGCTTAAAAACATAAATTGGATTTATTCAAAGTTTTAGTTTTCACTCGCTGCGCTATACAGCCCCCAAAACTTTCTTTAAAATTACAGTAATTTTGCAGCCCTAGCCAGTCAAGACTCCTTAGTAGTTTGTCGTTAATTAGGCCACACAGTGTCGGGACTATAACATCAACAGTTCAGCTACTTTTGTGTCTTGTGCTCGACCAAAGTAATATCAATACATTGGTGCAGTGTCATTTGTTTTGGAATAAACATATTTAAAATTGTCTTATACAATTACACAGTTGTGTTCCACAGTTCCCAAAAAAGTGTTCAGGTTATTCCTTATTATTTTAACATGTTCTGTCAATGGGCACTACATGATATATTTATGTACTTTCTAAGTATGTGACGAGTATGACAGCAATTAAATGTGTGATTTTTTATTTGATACATTTCTGCCATGTTTCTCTATGTCTTCTCCACTGGGCATGACTTGAGTTTTTAAAGAACAATAGCAGCTTCTCTCCACCAGAGATCACTGTGTCCCAGAGTTTAAAATCTATATTGTCTTTACTGCAAGATGTACAGTAGTATAGGATGAGTGCCTCTGTCTCCTTAGAAAATTGTTCTAAAATAGCCAATGAATCCCAGAAGAAATTTATTTCTACCTCATTAAAAAAATATCATGGCTGAGGGCCTTGCCTCAACTCAGCTTTCTTATGTATTATTAATTATCATAATCCTGCATTTCCTGGTAATTAAGAGCAGGCACTCTGGTAACTTTTGCGCACCCAGGAATTAATTAAGTTTAGCTTATGATTTCACTCTCAAATCTGAAGAATCCATCATAAGAGCCACTCTACATCTTCAAATACATTAATGCTCCTTACATGGGGAAAACTGTAGAAGCAGAGAATTTTATTAGTGATGTCGTCAAGCAAATGGTTTAAAACATCTCAAGCTAAAATTTGCCTTCATTTTCTTGATTCTAACATATTTCAGAAAAGCTGAACACATTTAAGTCAATGCTCTACTTAAAAAATATTTTTTTCCGCACTTAAGACTTAAGATGTTTTCTTCAGCTGTACCAAACTTGCTGCTGAACTACAGGTATTTCTCAGTAGGCAGTGCTTCAACAAGCTACTGGCTGTGAGTCAAAACTTCAGTCCAAATCCTAGCTGGGTTACCATTGTGTAACTCAAACATCTTTGTTATGTGTGACCAGCATCAATGATAAGCAGCTAAACTTTGGGCCTAAAACAGTGCAATAGTGCACATTCTCACACCTGTTACAAGGTAATATAACCCCCATCCTAGCAGCAGAGGGCTTTTTTAAAGGTAATGTAATGAGGGCAAGGTGATAGTTCAGTCTGGGCAGATAGTCTCTCCAACTCTCCTACTACTCTGTCATGTAGCATCTATCATCCTTACTAGATGAAATCTAGACTCTATTTTCCTCCCACCCTGTCTTCGATGGATAGATGGTCTTCTGCAGAGAAAAAAATAAATGTGAATAAAAATAAAAATGTGAATGGTTCTTCTCAAGACTGGTTTATTAATAAATCAGTTATGATTTAACTCAGTTGTTCTATATTTTAAGATTATTGAACTCAAGGGTGGTTGAGGCCCATAAATTTAAAAGGAATGCACCCTATCAAACTGATTGCACTGTCAGCTTTTTGCAAGAAATAAAGCTTAGGCCAAAATAAACTATCTTACATCTTTAATAAGCAATATAAATACTTTATTTCAAGGAGCAGGAATCAAAATTGAATAGTTAAATTTTGAGTTACTGAATTTATGTGGTAAAAAATAAAATTTAGTGATACTTAAGAGTTACAGTATTGATTAAATAGCAACTTACATAAATTACTTTATACACTTATTTTAGCTGAGTTTTCTGTGTGATAAGAGGGCAAAAAAGTGGTTTTGCATCACTGTCTAAAACAAAAAATCTAAAAAGAGCTGAGAAACCAGGATGCTATTGAACTGAATGTAAGTAGACAGGATATCTCTCAAACTGAGTTTAATGAACGTCAGCAGGTTATGATTGATGGGCTTTTCTTTTAGTCAATAGTTTTATCTGAAATATTAGCATACATTTCCTAACCTTTCACCTCATATTGTTGCTCCTAGGTGCCAGACTTGCAATGTCTTATGAGATCTTTTCCTTTCAGGATTGTGATCTGACATCTGTGCATATTGATCAAAACATCTGTGCATATTGCTGCTTGGCAATTCTGGAAATACAATAAGCAGAATAAAATAAGTGTGCCTTTTTGCAACCAAATCTGTAAAACAAAGGAAAAATAGGACAATGGGTTCTTTTTATGTTCTTGGTATTGGAAGAGAAGGAGAGTGCGCCTACAAGTTTGATAAAGCAAAGCTCAAGATGAGGTGCCAATATGAACTCAATGTGTTACTCTGTCAAAGAGAAGAGATAAAACCAATACAGTTTATCTCAAGCACTTAATCTGGTATCAAATAATGCAGTGCTTCTGTAGTTCTGGGCAAATTGAATCCAAGTTTGAAGTGCTGCTGTATCGAAACAGTCAAAACATTACAGGAATGTTTATTAGATTTCTCCAC